GCACCACCATGCCCAGCTAATTTTTGTATTTTTTTTTTTTAGAAGAGACGGGGTTTCACCATATTGGCCAGGCTGGTCTTGAACTCCTGACCTTGTGATCCGCCCACTTCTGCCTCCCAAAGTTCTGGGATTACAGGTGTGAGCCACCACGTCCAGCCTGTAATAGTTCTTATATTCAAGTTACTCACGCTTTTTCTATGGTGTATGTTGCAAACATTTTTCTTTCAATATATCAGTTATTTTTGGATGTTGTTTAGGATTTATTTGGCTCTTCAGAAGTTTTTATTTTCATGTAGTCAAACTTATCAATCTTGATTTTATTGCCTCTGTATTTTGAATCATAGTTAGAAAGTCTTTCACTACACCAACATTAGAGAATTCACTCGTATTTTCTCCTAGGAATTGCGTAGTTCTTTATAATTAGATCTTTTACATTCAGTCCCTGATGCATCTGGTTTGGTTTTGTATGTGGTTGTATTAGCCTGTTTTCACACTGCTGATAAAGATATACCAGAGACTGGGTAATTTATAAAGAAAAATGAATTTAATGGCCTCACAGTTCCATGTGGCTGGAGAGGCCTCACAATCATCGCAGAAGGGGAAAGGTACGTCTTACTTGGCAGTGGGCGTGAAAGAGAATGAGAGCCAAGCCAAAGGGGACTCCCTTATAAAAACATCAGATCTTGTGAGACTTACTACAAGGAAAACGCTGTGGGGGAACCGCCCCCATGATTCAGTTACCTCCAGTGGGTCCCTGCCACAGCATGTGGGAATTATAGGAGCTACAATTCAAGATGAGATTTGAGTGGGGGCACAGCCAAGCCATGTCATGGTGTGAGGTACAGATCTAAATTTCTTTTCTCCAAATGGCTCTAAGTTGTCCCAGCACCATATATTAAAAAGTCCATCCTGCTGGGCACAGTGGCTAATGCTTATAATCTTAGCACTTTGGAAGGCCTACATGGGAGGATTGCTTGAGGCCAGGAGTTTGAGACCAGCCTGGTCAATATAGTGATTGCTCATCTCTAAAAAAAAAAAGAAGATAATTATATATGTATATATAGAAGTCCATCCTTATCCCAGTGATTTGAAGCCAAACTTTCATATGTATTTCAGTTTATATCTGGACTTTTATTGCTGCCACATTGGTCTGTTTGTCTCCTTGTGTAGCAGTACCACCGTGTTTAATTACGGAGTCTGTGTGGTTTATTTTAATGTCCAGGAGTTGTTTTATTTTTTTCTTCAGAGTTTTCCTGGCTCTTGTTGCATATTTTTTTTTCAGTGTGACCATTAGTATCAACTAGTGTAACTCTATAAAAATAGTTTACTGGGATTTTTACTGGGATTATGTTGAATTTACAAATTAATTTAGGGAGAACTGTCATCTTTATAATACTGGGTTATCCAGCCAAGAGTTGGGGATGTCATTTCTCTTGTTCATAATCTCCTTTGGTGCCTTTCAAAAATGTCTTGCATTCTCCTTGTATAGAGTTTGTACAATTCTTGTTAAATTTGTTTGTAGGTATTTAATGTTTGTTGCAGTTATTTTAAATGGAGTTTTCTCTGATTATTATTTTTTATTTGAAAGCTATTGATTTTTGTATATTAATTCTGTATTAGTGAATTCCTTTATTATTTGAGTTAGTTTTATCATTGACTCTCTGGGGGTTTCCAGATATATATGGTTATCAACTGCAAATAGAAGTGGTTTTACTACTTTACTCCTTCTTACACTGCTGATTGATCTCTTTCGTTTCAATATATTGGGTAATACCTGTCATACAATGTTGAACAGAAACGGAGACAGTGGGCATCTTTGCCCTGTTCTTGATAGTGGTAGAAATGCTATTAGTTTTTCCTTATGTAGTAATGAGTTAAGGAATGTATATTTTATCATGTTTAACAGTAATCCCCTCAATTCCTGTTTTCTTTAACCTTTATCATAAATAGATTTTAAATTTTGTTAAGGGATTTTTCAGAATCTATGGAGGTAATCACACTATTTCCTTATGTTTATTAATATAGCACATGATACTAATAGTTTCCTAATATTTCTGATATCTTCGACCTCATTTCATGTTTTTGTATCAATATTGAAGAGCAATTGATTGGTGTGTAGTTTTATTTTCTTGTTCTTTCTGCCTGGTTTATCAGTGTTAACATTTGCTTCATAGAAGGAGACAGTGTGCTAGAATCTTTTTCATAGAGCATTGGCATTACCTGGCCTTTGAAGGTTTGGGAGAATTCCCCTGGGAAACTGTCTGGTCCTGGGGCTTCTTGTGGGCTGGTTACTTAATAACTCTTTCTGTTTCTTCTGGGAAATCATCAGTTTAAGCTTTCTACTCTAATGGGATCAGTTTTAGTAATCAGATTATCCTTAGGAAGTTATCAGTTTCATCTACATTTTAATATTCCCTTAACATTTTAAAAATTCCCTGTTTCATTATATTTCCCTTGTGTCCTCTCTCACTTTCTATTTTTGTATTCACTCCACCTTTTTCTTGACCAACTTAACTAGTGATTTGTTAAGAAACCGTTCTTTTTTCCCTCCAAAAACCAGGATTTATATTTGTACATTAAATCTGTTTTTCTATTCCCTACCTCATTAATTTTATCTTATGTATTCTTTTTTCTTATTAATTTTAGCTTTTTCCTTTATTTTTTCTTGGTGTAATTCTTTTGGTTTGTTTTTTTTTTTCCCCTTGGTTTTTATGAGCTGGGAATTATTATTGTTATTATTACTTATTTTTTCAAACAGGCTCACTCTGTTACCCAGGCTGGAGTGCAGTGGCATGATCTTGGCTCACTGCAGCCTCAGCCTTCTGGGTTCAGTCTTCCCACCTCAGCCTACTGAGTAGCTGGGACTGCAGGCACATCACCATGCCTGGCTAATTTTTATATTTTCTGGTAGAGAGACAGGGTTTTACCATGTTACCCAGACTGGTCTCAAACTCCTGACCTCAAGCGATCTGCCTGCCCCAGCCTCCCAAAGTGATGGGATTACAGGCGTGAGCCATTGTGTCTGGCTGGGAATTATTAATTTTCATCATTTCATTTTTATTGATAAAAATGTCAGTGCAATGAATTTTTCTCTGATTACTGCTTTAAATGTATTTCATGGATTCTGATATGTAGTATTTTCATTGTAATTATTATTTTTCTTAATTTTGTCCTTTCAGTTTGATGATCTAATAAATAATAAGACAACATTTCCAGGTGGAGTGCCCTTCTGTTTTTTTTTGTTTTTTTTAAATAATTGATAGTTTATTGCATTGTAATCAGAAGTATTGGTTGTGTTTCTACCACGTGGAAATCATTGGCTTTTTTTCCCTTTAATGCAATCAGTTGTGACTGTGCTGTGGGTTCTTGGGAGGAACGTGTATTCTTTATTATAGGGTACAGAGTTCAATATATATGTCCATAAGGTCAACTTTGATTGATTATGTTGTTTAGATCTATCTCCTTACTTGTTTTCTGTATACTTGTTCTGCTTTGTACTGAGAATGGTGTATGAAACTTCCTGTTATTAGTACATTTCTAATTGTGTTTGCCCACATCTCCTGTAGTCTTTGATAAAGGTTGTAGTTGTATTATTTGGCTCGTAGATGTTTATGAGTATTATGTCTTCACTGTGGACTGTGGCTTTCAGCATTAAAGAAGAGTCCTTGGTTGTATTTAACACTTTGGTTCTATGTGATCTGCTGCTGCTCTGTTTTTATTTTTATTTCCTTAGTATACCTTTGTCCATCCTTTTTATTTTCAGCCCTTCAGAATCACTTGATTTTAAGTGCATCCCTTGTATACAGTATATAGTTGGGTCTTGTTCTTTTAAAATTTTGGATGTAGAAGGATTTGTATTTTCTAGTGATTATTTGTATTTAATTCTATTTAATATCCTTAGGTATGCTGTTTTATTATTTAATCCTTTATTGTCTGATTATCAGTTTTTTCAGTATCAGTTAATACTCACCTATTGCTTATATAATAATGAACTATACAATAATGAGAATTCTCCTCTCTTCTTTCTTTTTCCTTTATCTCCATTTTTAATGTATCATTTCTAGTTTGTCATAAGATTTCTATATTGTGTAAATGCATTAAGTGAAAAAAGTTCATTAAGAATATGTGAAATAATAATAGTAAAGATAATAAACACATTTTGCAAAACCCATAGAGGTGCTCTGCAAGTGACTGAAGAAGTCGGGGAGTGCCAGTGTACCATGAGGTGTGTTCTGACGTCGGGGTGTCCAGCAGTGGGTCCTCCCGGGCTGGCTGCCAGGGCTCCTGGGGTGGATTGCTGGCCCTGGGCCAAAGTGGCCTCTGACTGTTTACAGAGGTCCTCCTGTCTCTGAAACTCCGAGTCCGTTACAACATGGCTGCCTTAAAAATACACAAAATCTTGGGACTTTGGAACTGAGCAGTTCTTTCTGTAGCATTAGAGCATTCTGACTGTAATTATTTTCTTTAGTTCACATAAAAGTAAAAGCCAAATGCTAACTTTCCCAAAGGTTATCAGTTATAAACGGTGTGTGCAACCTTTGAAATAAATAAAACTAATTTGTTGTTCAGTGCCAGTGAGACAGAGAAGTAGTCACATGTGAATTATTCATATTGTATTAAGAAAGTATGTAATTTGATACCAAGCAAAAGCATATAACTAGTTTCTTAAACAGAATTTATAGGTTTTGTACATTTTCAATATCAATAAACCAGTCACCATAGTTTATTACAAGCGTTTCAGCCAAAATTGTTTGAAATTACTATTTTAAATGTACAAAAGCTAAGTAAATATCAGACAATGCAAGAAATAATGAGGTTAAATGTAATTGATGATTGTTATGCTGAAAAGATAAAGTTTAAAGTCATCTCCTCAAATGCCCTATAAAGTTTTCCAGCTCCACAGGGGTCTGCATTTGCAGCTGAAGTTTTCTGAAAGCAAATTCAATTAGAGTGTTGTGTGCTTTATGAGACCATCTAAAGTGAAATTTTGTTTGTTTCAGAAACGGGCATGCAGGAGATTAGAAACCAGTGGGCATGAGCATGGCTGCCACCAGCTGCACACCTGTGCCCTGGCGTCCTGGGGCCCAGAGGACCAGGAGCCTCCATCAAGAGCCCCAGCACTGAGGCTAGAGAGCGGCCAGGGGAGGCCAAGTACAGGGGTATGTTCCTGTGCCCACCAATCCAGTTGTGAGCATGTTTAAATATTTTAATAGAAAGTGTAAATAATCATTGTTCTGATGTATCTGCAACTGTGATTTGTTAAATAGATTTCTCAGAATGGTGGAAGGAGCTCGGCCCAGCCTTGCGTAAGATGTATTGCAGGGGAATCTGTAAGTGCATTAACCTTCTTGCTGTGACATAAAAGATAGACTTCTTCTTAAATATTAGATCCATAAAACAAAGTTAATAAAAACTGCAATTACGTTTCTGAAGAATGAGGAACGTAAATAAAAAGGTGAAGATTGATTTAAGCTTTTCTTAGCATTCTGTTGGTGTACAAACTAATTTCTGTCCAGCTTCAGATCGGAAATAGAAATTGCAAATACATTTAAAATTCCTTCTAAAAACAGGATTTAAGGAAGAGACCAGGCCACTGGATTTGGTTAAAATAGAGAATCATTTAAGGACATCTTGGAGAAAAGATCTTTCTCATTTAATTTTCCAAATAGGAATCAACATTGCTTTGTTCTTTTCCCTGTTTAAGCTTTTCTTGCATGTTTCTATCATAAACTTCACATAAATCACAGATTTCAGAAGGAAACACAGTGTTCACACCATTAATTCAAAGTAAAGGGAGGTCAGAAACTGCCAGAGTCAGATTCTCAGTCTCTTCCATTGGGCAGAATATAAAGTATATATTAGCATAATAATACCTTTGTTATTAATTTTGAACGTACTCCAAGAACAAGTTAATATGTCTTTGATAACCGCTATAATTCTTGGGTTTCTTTAATTTTAAATTTGAAATCTTAATATTGCAATAAAATAGAATTATATTTAACTTCCACATAGAAACCAGGAATTTGTGTGTGTATATATGGGTATTTCTGAGATTGCCCCCTAAAGATCTTTCAAGCAATGTATTGCTCTGTTTTTGATAAGCAAAAGATTGAGTCAATAAATTATGGAGATCCTCAATTGACACACTCTAAGCTACTGTGTTTTATAGTGATAAGCACTGATTTTGTTTCAAACAAAGACCTAAAACCTTGACAGCCATCACCATGTCTGATGACAGGGTGAACCTCGGATTATCTGAAGTCCTTAGACGAATATGAAAACAAAGTTTAGTATTAACCTCACTCCATGAAGGTATACTTTGCTACTTTTTGTACTCTCTCTTAGAAAAATTTTTATAGGTTATGTTGCATTCTGTGGTATAATTCTGAACAATAGTGAAATTAAAGATCCAGCAACTTGAATTTAGTGTGTTTAGGTTGATTCATGTAGCTGTTAGACATATCCTAGAATATGAATGAATAATGCTTACTTTGAGAACTGTGTCCCCATTGGGGTTGAATTCCGTGTTTGCTGAGACCAACCGATGCCTTCTTTGTCCCCACCCTATTTCCATGGAATGCATCTTTCACATCCCCCCATCTGTTGGAGGCAAACACTTGGAATGTACTACAGATTCTTAATGCTTTGAGAGCTTGTGTTCTGGCATGAATGGCTTAAAGAAAAAAAAACTTAGTTCAAGCAACTGATCGGATCATTTTGACTAATATTCTGTTTGAACAACAGTACCTATTTGATTAGGGTTTTTCCTTTCTTTGTAATTCCCCAAGCTTGGCTCTGTTACGTTTCGTAGGAAATGAATCTATGAGCAGAAAACCTTCATTGATATGTAAATATCATTTTTTTTGCTTAATACTCAATATTCTTTTCATCTAAATTTCAGAAACTGACTTTAAAAAATCAGTTTCCTTTTATTTGTAGTTATTCTCAATAAAATTTCACCCAGGCTTGGGCGTTTTAATATTTACACCCACTATTTCTGAAAGTCTAATGTAAATAAAGATTGAAATGTGAATTTGAAAAGTCACACCTCTTGATATTTGAACAGACTATAGCTGCATATATCTTCTTTTTCTAATAATATGGCTAGTTTCTCTCCTAAGCTTTTAAAATAATAAGACACTATTTTTGTATTATAAAACATCAAAAGGTTCAGTGTTAAATAAAAAGCAAATAGTATTTTTAGAAATGCAAGATCCCTGGGAGTTGTACTTAACAATAAATCACCGATGGGGAACAATTCCAAATTTCAGAAGACTTTATTAAATTTGCAGTTCCATTCACAAATGCCTGCTGACATGTGGGCCTGCCCACTCTCCCGTGATGCGGTAGGCGGTTCAGAAAGGTTCTCTTGGTCACAGAGAAGCCAAGGTGCTATCAGGGGTGGTTTGTGTGGAATTCCTAATGGGAACTTGTATGTGATTCTCAGTTTATTTGGTGGCTTTTCTCCAGTAAGCTCATTTGCATCCTGAATTCTCTAGTGTATTTTTGACCTTAGTAGGATGTCAGCTGATCTGATCTGTTCTGCTCTGCTCTGAATTCTCAGTATAGCCATCTGAGCTTGGTGGTCCTTCTGTTCCTGTTTTTCCTTACATTTATGATTGAGTTGTTTCTCACACATGCAGGGTCTTGATATTTCTCATATGCAAGGACTTCCTCTGTAGACCTCTTCAAACTCATTTTCCAAGTTTGCATTTCAGTCTATTTCTGTTGAGCCATTCAGGCTCATTGTAACCACTGCTACAACGGTTGCTATTTCAGGAGTGGCTGAGGTGGTTTCTTAGAGTAATTACCATTAGGGTTCACCTCCTGCTGTACATTATTATTTACGATCGTCTCTTTGTAGCCCTGAATCACCCTGCTCATGTTATTGATGATGGAAATCAATGTGGTGGGATCCCTTCTTACAACGTACAGGGTGTCCGCTCCCGCCCAGGGTTGGGCTGTTCCCTCTCCCTGTTGTGCGCTGTCTGGGGCTGCAAGCCACATAGAGGATGATCGCCATCGCTAGGAGGCTTCCTTTCCTGCCACCAGCGGCTCCCACGCTGGGCAGGCAGTCGCCTGGGCCACAGCCTTCCTTTTCTGGATCCACACGGCTTGTTTTTGCTTGGGCCACATGGTAGCCAAGTGTGACATGGAAAGGAAGCTGCTCCTTGCAAATTAAAATCAACTAAATGAAACCTTAGGAGGCTGCCAGAGGTCTCCAAAATAATCAAAAGATGGTACATAAAAAGGGGAGGAAGGCCTAGAAGTTAGAAATCTGTAGAAAGGATTTAGGATATTGGTTGAGGAGAGGGATGGTGATACTTCCTCAGCACCATGTTTTCCTAGAGGTCTCCCATCTCTTGTTATTTTGTAGCCTCTCAGTGTTGGAATCATCTGGGATCTGGAAGGGGCCACCCTCAGATCTTACTGGGTCATGGTCGGCCTGTTGCCTGGGTTTTTCTCAGCTCTGACTCCCTTTGTCTGCCCGTCCTCAGTGTTGTGGAGACTGTGTTTCCCAAACTCCTTTGCTTCTGACTTCTGGGAGAATCCAGCCAACGGGAGGCATTGGCAGAACACAGGAATGTGGGGGAGGAGGCCAGACTGTTTCTTTCTTGCTCTCTCTCTCTCTCTCTCTCTCTTTCTCTCTTTCTTCTCTGTCCCAGGATACAGCTTCTGCAGAGCATTCCCTCTGGGCCCAGCTCCTGCCAGGTCCACCAGCTCCTGCCAGGTCCACCAGCTCCCGGGTCTGAGGTCACACTTCCTCCTCCCTTTGTCCTCCCAGCCCTTGGAGGGGGCTTCTTATGGTGATGAGTGTTTGGCTCCTGTATTAGTCCATTTTCACACCGCTATGAAGAACTACCTGATGCCTGTAATCTCAGCTGCTTGGGAGGCAGCTGAGGCAGGAGAATTGCTTGAACCTGGGAGGTGGAGGTTGCAGCGAGCAGAGATCGCACCATTGCGCTCCAGCCTGGGTGAGACTGCCACCTCAAAAAAAAAAAAAAAAAAGATCTACCTGAGACTGGATAATTTATAAAGAAAAGAAGTCTAGTTAACTCACAGTTCCACAGGCTATACAGGAAGTATGGCTGGGAGGCCTCAGAAGACCTCCAGTGGTGGTGGGAGGCAAAGGGGAAGCCAGCATTCCATACCATGACAGCAGGAGAAAGAGAGGGAGCGAGAGGGGAAGTGCCACACACATTCAAACAACCAGATCTTGTGAGAACTCACTCTCTATCATGAGAACAGCAAGAGGAATTCCACCCTCATGATCCAGTCATGTCCCACCCCCCGACACACGTGGGGAGTACAATTCGAGATGAGATTTGGGTGGGGACACGGCACCGAACTGCATAGCTCTCCTGTTGGCTTCTCATCTCTTCTGTCATTTGTGGAGCCAAATCTGTGATACATTCCCTCTGTTTGAAATATACCTAGATTGGTTTCTGTTTGCTTACCTGTGCTAATCAGCTAACGAATGGACAGATTTTCCTGGGGAGAAAAGTTGCTGTTTCTAGCAGAGGTCTCTGGGCCTTTGTGGTCTCCTGCAAGGGCCCAGTCAGTAGTTCACAAGCTTGGCACTCCAGAGTGCTGGCAGGGCCGATCCTGGTCATGAGCCACATGAGTCTCCAGAGCCTGGACATGAAATTTAAAAATACCATCAGGCCCTTCCGTGTTGCCCATCCCTAATGCTCCTTCACTCCCTTTTATCTGTGGTTTTGTTTTTTTGAGACAAAGTCTCGCTCTGCTGCCCAGGCTGGAGTGCAGTGGCATGATCTCTGCTCAGTGCAACCTCCACCTCCTTGGTTCAAGCGATTCTCCTGCCTCAGCCTTCTGAGTAGCTGGAACTACAGGTGCACTCTACCACACCCAGCTAATTTTTGTATTTTTAGTAGAGACTTGGTTTCACCAAGTTGGCCAGGCTGGTCTCAAACTCCTGACCTCATGATCCGCCCACCTTGGCCTTTCAAAGTGCTGGGATTACAGGTGTCAGCCTCCGCACCCTGCCGATTATTGGTTTTTATTGCTCAAACTAGTAGGGAGTTACTACTGAAAAGCCAGCATGCAAAACATGATGTTTCCTGGTGTTGCGGCGCCTTTGCTCCCCACGTTGATTCTGGATACCAGCATTGTCATTAGCCTTAGCAAGCTTTTTTTTTTTTTCATTGAGGGCAAATAGCAAGGGAACAGTTTTAATAAGCCTCCGCAGTATTCACTTTTTGACATTGAAATCTATTGTCAGACAGCAGTTATGTGTGTGTGGTGTGTATGGTGTGTGTGCATGTGTGTGTCTGTGTACATATGTGGTGGGTGTGCATGTCTGTGTGTG